CAAGACGCAGTCCCTGTTCTCATAAAACTCAGATTCCTGTGCCACCTGCCCCAGGGAACCACAAAGACCCTCATGGAGAAGTGTCAGGGCTCAGCTACGCCCTAAGCAGCTGGGCAACCTTGTGGGACTTACTTTGCTGCTCAGTGAGTCAACTTCCTCCTCTGGGAAGTGGGTACGGCACATTTGTACTGACATACCACGCGGCCTTCTCATGTAGGAAGATGTCTTGACAGGAGAGAAGTTCACCTTATGCTAAATGGCAAAAGCTCTTAACAGATACTTTACCTTTTCAAATGCCTGTACATGTAAGAAGGTGCGTATGTGTGTGTATATGAATTGTTTAATATAAATGGTAGTTAATAAACTGGTCCTTCCAGTGTACGTGTGTCCTAGCCTGCTTGGGACTGAGTGGCTTAAACGACAGAGTTTATTTCTTGCCATCCTAGAGGACGGGGTGTCCCAGGTCAAGGTGCTAGCCAGTTCACTTTCTGAGGACATGAATTTTGGCTTGTAGACAGCTGTCCACTCCCTGAACCTTCACATGGCCTTTCCTGTTTGCGCTCAGAGAGACAGAGCTCTGGCCTCTCTCTTTCTCCTTATAAGGTCACTAATCTCATCAGGAGAGCCCCATCCTCATAACACCATCTAACCCTAGTCAGCCCCCAAACACCCCACTTCCAAATACCATCACATAAATTGGGGCTACCACCTGTGAACCCAGAGGAGACAGATGTTGAGTTGATCACTGCATGTGTGTGCACCTGGCAACACGTACCTGAGCAGTAGATTACAAGTGGTTTTTCATTTTTCCTTTCTCGTATCTGAATTTCCTAAATTGTGCATGAACCATGTATTTTAAGATTACGAAATAAGAACAGAAGCCCCCTTGTTTGCACAGGGATTTTTGACAGGAGCCACAGCAGCTGCCGCCCAGTGGGGGTGGGGGTAGAGCTCCGCAGGCCAAGCAGGCTCACTTGCGGCCTCCTGCCCCTCCCAGCACTCCGATGCTCTGAGCAACTCCAGCGACAACCCCACACACTGATCACGCGCTCCAGCAACCGGTGATCAAAGCCTCCCAATGCGCTAACCCAAAGCATTTGCTTACTCCTCACTGGGCGGCCATGAACAAGGTCTGCCGTTCTCCCAGCTCACAGAAGGGGAAACAGAGGCATGAAGTAGGGAAGTCCCACAGCTGGGGACGGCAGAGTGAGGTGCTCAACAGCGGAGCCAAGGCCCGTGCTCCTGTCCCTCTCCCATCCTGCCTGTTCTTAGAGAGCACAGACACCAGCCAGGCCCTTCCTGCTACAATACTCCACTATGGGAGCAAAGGCTGTGTGCTGCACAGAGGGCTTCACCACAGGGGACACAGGAGGAAGGACTCTGGGCTGTGGGAACGGCCCAGCCGGCAGCCCTGGATGCATGTCCATGACGGCAAAGCAAACATCCTGGCATCTCTGTCCCCGTGGGCATGGGCCCTGGAACAACCAGGTCCAGGGAGCCGGCAAGGCGGGAAGTGGCTGCCAGGCCCTGGCACCAGCCCCAGCCTCCGTGCACTCGGCCAGCTCCGTTGGCCAACTGTCAAGGCTTCAAAGGGGTGTGCAGAGCAAGCTGGGGGGCCAGGCTGGACTGGTCTGCCTGAAACTGAGATGAGAGAACAAAAGGAGGCCGTTGTGGGCTGGGTTGGCGGGAGCCCGCGGCGGGACAGAGGGCGGGAAGGGGAGGCTGCAGAGGGAGGGCTGCGGGGAGCAGGGCAAGGTGCGGGCACCCTGGGCAGCCAGCAGGTGTGGCCCTCCGCACAAGGAGGCACCTGAGGCTGGGGAAGGCTGTGGCTTGGCGGGGGTACTGGCTGGCACATGGCAGCCCCTTGTGTCTGTCAGAAATCCACAGGATCAGTCAGGAGTCTATGCATTTCAGGACATTCGTCCCTTTGTTTCTCCACTCAGCCACCACGGACTAGCATCTGCGGGTCAGACAGCTGGGGGAATGGGGACCAGCCAGAACAACAGGGGCCCTACCCAGGATGAAGTTAGGGCAGAGCCTTGTCCTGTGGCACAGGGGCCTACAGACAGATGTCCGAGCTTCCCTCCAGACTCTGTCATCAACTGCGACCTCGGGCATGGGACCTGTCCCTGAGCCTCAGTGACTGGAGTGTTCAGTAAACGACACTGGCCAGCAAGCACGTCAGCACATTGGCAGCAGGGTAAGCCCACAACGTAGGGTCCTGTCCCCAGCAAAATGCTCTTCCAACTTCACGTGGCCAGCTCCCAGGGGAAATCACCGCCACATGGGACAGAAGCCTGGTACCTTCTAAGTGCTGGACAGGGGGTGGGGGTGGGGTTGTCACTATTGCAGGAGAGCACAAAGGGGGCGGCAGGGGGGAGCGATGGTCATGTAACTTGAGGGGCAACATGCAACCTTCCCTGGGCCACAGGGGCAGAGCTGGAAACCAGATTCCGCCCACCTGCAGACCCAACTTGCACCCAGCTCCAAAGGTAGGCACACCTACCCCCTCCACTGAGGGTCTCGTGTTATTCCTGGAGATGACAGCCACACATAAATGGGCAGGCAGTGGGGGCTGCACAGCACCTTGTGAACAAGAGTCATAGCAGGAGGCCCATAGGAGAGCTTGAGGTCAGGGACCAGGAGGGACCAAAAAGCAAGGGGAGGGAGGGACCAGGAGGTGGCAGGAAAGGAGCCTCCGAGCACAGGCCTGGGGTCAGGGGCCTGGACTCCACTCCAAGCCCTGCCACCCCTTCCATAGGTAAGGGACTGTCGTATCTCCTCGAATGACTTCTCAGTCGGCGAGGGCACTGGAGCCAAGGGCCCACCAGCTCACTCCTTTCCCACCACACGCCATGACTCTGGACTGGAGGGCAGCTGGGAGGAGAGAGCTGTAAGGAGAAGGCTGCCGTCTGAGCTTTTCCCTCTGAAGGAGGAGCAGACCACCAGGCAGGTCTGGGTGCCCCCAGAGCCCTCCCAGGAGGTGCACCAGCTCCTGACCCCAACTGACCTACCACACCTGGTCTCAGCAGGAGGTCACGTGGCCTGAGGAGAGCAAGGCCAAGTCACCGGAGGCCACCTTGGGCCCCCTGCTTCCTGTGGACCTTGGGGAGAACCATTTCACCTCTGGGGATCCCAGCTTCCGCAGTGTAATACAGGGGCAAATGGGACCTGCCTCAAAGATCGACACCGCGCTCGGTTGAGCTGAAGCCAAAGGCAGCTCATGGAACTGTTCGATCCTTTCCAGCCACTCTGATCCTGTTTGAGCACAAATCCCAGAGAGAATCCCGCGTGTTCCTTAATGTCTGTAAGCACCAAGGAACGAATGAGAAAGAAGTCTGGATTTTTAGAGGAGAGACCTGGCTTCCAGTCTCTGCTCAGATGCCTCTTCTACCTGCAGGCACTGGACAAGTCACTCCGCCTCTCTTGGCCTCAGTTAACTCACCTGTCAAATGGGGCTATTAGTAATGCTTCATTCACAGGGTGTGGGAGGTCTGCACGGGTAAGCTAGTGTATGTGAAAGCACTTTGCACGCCACGAAGCTCTCACACGTAGGTTACTGTAGAGCTCTTATGGAGGCAGGAATCCCCTGGTTGTAAGAAGGGCCCTATAGCCAGTCTCTCATGTGGTTCCAACAGGAAGGAGCTGTACTGAAACTCAGGGAGGATTTCAATCATTCCTCCTGCCTCATTAAAGGCAGATGGTGTGTCGCTGGAGGTTCTGGCCCGAACTCCAGCAAACACTTCCTGACGTGGCAAAGAGGTGGGGAAGGGTGTGCAGCAGGATGTTTGGAGGAGCCACCGAGGGGGCATCTCTGCCCCCCAGGGCTGAAGGAGCTTCTGGGCCCCTTTCCAGAGTTTGTCCCGTGCACACTAGCCAGGCCGCCTGCCTTCCCCCTCGGGGTTACCTTAGGTGATGGTGAGATTATTACCTGCTTGTCAGGTAGATGAGAGAGGGCAAAAGCTCCTCAGAGAAGGTGCCAGCCCCAGCAGCTGGTCCCCGAGGCTGGGAACGCCAAGGGCCCAAGAGAAAGCATCCTGCTTCCTCTCTGGACCCGCTGAGCAAACAGGAGGATGGCAGGTGCCTGAGGCGGCTGGCCAAGCAGGGCTTCTGCCCGCCGCTCCCTCCGCCTCCTGCCCAGCCAGTGCTAGCCTGAGCCAAGGCCCAGTAACCTTCCTGGCCTGGCCCTGCTCTGAGCTGGCAGGTGGGAGGATGGGCATGTCGGTACTCAAATGGGGGATTCCCTCCACAGCTCCTTGGCGGGGTGGAAGCAGCATATCCCAGGGGCTCTGGGGCTGTATAGTGCTCTAGGTTGCTTATTTAAAGGAGCTGATGTGGAGCCCAGAAACTTACCAACAAAGCATCTCAGTGATGCCCACTGATCCGTGCGATCCCAAACAGACTCACCAAGGGCGGGCCTTGGAAGGTATGTCACATAACCTGGTCAAACTGTGCAACCTTGGGCCAGCCACACCCCTACTCCTGGGGGAATCTGCCTGGGTATCCGCTGAGGTCCCTGGAGGGTGTGATGGGCTTTAAAAGAAGCTGCCCTGCTGGCAGGAAGCCCTGCCCCTAAGAGCTCATGTTCCTGCCTCCTCAGCTGCACTCCCAGTAATGCACCCGATGCCTCTGAGAAAAGGGCTTTCATGGGTCAGATGGAAGGGGCGATTTCTCCTTTGCAGTGGGGAGCAAACGAGAATGGCCAAAAAGTACCGCAGGGAGGGCATGTGCCCAAAATATAGGGGCTGACCTTAAGGTAGCTCACCTACAGTGAGTTCTGAAACCAGTATCTGTGTCGAACTGTTCCCTTCCCCATCCCCTCCATACCCCCCTCCCCACCCCAGAAGGAACATGGATAGCAGGCTTGCCTTGAGGGTTAAGACCCAAAGTATTCAGCAGATCAGCAGAAACTACAGTTCTGTTCAAAACTAGGACTTCAGCTACTCCGCTACCCAACACACACACACACACACACACACACACACACACACACACACACACATACACACACACACACTTTTTCTCTCTCTCCCATTCACTGCCTCACTCACTCTATTACTTGTCCAACAAATGGCACCTCTGCTGTAACAGAAAACCAAGTGAATGGGGACCAGCAGCGATCCCAGCTGAACAGAGAGACGTTCAAGAGTAGAGGAAGCAGGCAAGGTTAGATGCTGAACGCATTCACAGAGGGGCTGCCAGAGTTGTCCTTATTGGCCCAGTCATTCAACCAAAGGGACCTGATATACCAGACAATACACTGAGTGCCAGGTAACCCCTGCCCTTACAGAATTCAAGACATCAAATAGTTATTCTTGATATTCCCATCACATTTATCACTAAAAAAATGCTGTGTAACAACAAAACCTCAGTGGCACAAGCACTAAGTGTCCATGCACCTGGGTGGCCAGGCAGGCAGCTCGGATGGTCTTGGCTGGGCTCACACACGGGTCTGGGAGTGGCTGGTGGTCGGCTGGTCTCGCTCAGAGGATTAGAGCACCATCGTTATGTTCTACATGTCTCTCATCCTTTTCTGGGAGCTGGAAGGCTAGCTCAGAACGTCCTTCTCTTGGTGATGGCAGAAGTCCAACAGTGCAAATGGAAATGCTTTTTCAAAGTTCTGCTTGCAATGTGTCTGTTAATACCCCCGTGGACCAAGCAAGTCCTGTAATCCAGTCCAGCATCAGAGAAGCAGGAGCGGCTGAAGAGGCGGGGCCAGGTCATCAGTTCACCACGCCACACTGTGGAGGGAAAAGGGAGGTTTGTATAATTCTGTTACTTATACAAGTTACTGAGCCAAATGCTCCAGACAGGATTTGAACTCAGGCTGTTTTGGACTGTGCTAAGCCCTGTGCCTAAGGCGTAGGCACAAAGGAGAGGCAATGATCACATGGGGCACCAGCAAAGTGAACCTGATACCAGACTTGGCCCTGCCAGGGAATATTCCGGTGCACTTTGGGTCTGGATGGCCTTTGTGAATGCAGGGAAACACCCACCTTGGCCAAGACTTGCAGGCTGGGAACTGACACAGGTTCTGGCCATCAGACACTCCCCTTTCCCCAATGAGATCAAATAGCAATGAGTTAAGTAGCTGGAATCAACCGGCAACCCTACTTGGGAGAGTGAGCATGAATTAAGCAGTTCCACAGAAAGGAATGCAATCCTCCCTGTGTTTTCAAGCATCACAAATCCTGGATAAAAGTCAAGCAAAGGCTCCCAGTCAACTGATCTACCCACTTTCCATCCCCACCCGCAAAGTCCTTATTTCGCTGGGGCGGGAGGGCGTGCAATAAAACACCTCTGCGCAGGGGCTGCAGCCCTGCCGTCCCTCATGGGCCGAGATCAGGGGAAAAGGCCATGCAGGGATCCACACTGACACCCGGCATCCGATTCAGTGGTTCTGGGCTGGGGCCAGGAGCCAATATTTTTAACAAACACCCCAGATGACTCAAATACAAGCCTCCTCAGATCACATTTTGAGCACCTTCTGCCCAATGATGTGCAGGTGTCATCACTCTGTGCCCTGCAGAGATCATGCTCGTGGGGAAACAGGTTCACAAAAATGTGAGTGAACACACATGCCCATGTGCACACTCACGCATGTACACGGACAGAGATGAGGGCCTGTAACAACAGTAGCTAACTTCCCACTTCCCGTGGCAAGCCTTATTTTAAGCCTGTACACACATTATCACACCTAAGCCTCCCAATAATTTTGTGAGGCGGGGCACACTTTTATCGCCACTTTTCAGAGGAGGAAAGTCAGGCCCAGAGAAGCCAAATATCCAAAGTTCCAGAGCTAGTAAGCCGGGAGGTCCAGATGCACCAGCGGACACGCTGACTTCGGAGTGCAGGTGCCCGCCAGAAGTTCAGCCTCTCCCGCAGCGTGACCGTGTAAAGAAGAGAGTGAACTTGCTGAACTTGCCTTGTGGTCTCGGTTAAGCAAAACTGCTGAGATCATTAACACTTTCGCAGAAGCCTTTTCAATGGGGAATGACTCTGTTACATTACCTCATTTTTTTCTGCTCACCTTCTCAAGCCAGCTTCCACCATTCTCTGTCCTCTACCATCTGGGGGCAGCCAGGGAGTGGCGGCGTGCTGGGGGGAAACCACAAGAAAGGTGGCTTCCCCTGGATCTACTGTATGCACCCAGGTGAGGAGCCTGCCCTCCTCACACAGCCCTGTTGGGGCTATGCACCCCCCTTTTGCAGACAAAAAAACTGACGGAGCCTCAGAAAGGTTAAGCCACTCATCCATAGCCACACAGCCAGTCCAAAGCCCAGCCCTATATTCAAACTTCAGTCTTGTCTAATCTAGAGCCCAAGCTCTCGCCTCTTCTAAAATGTGACTCATGAGCCTGTGTCAAGGCTCTTGGGGGTTTGAAGAAAATGTCAACACCCAGGCTCAAAAATGTAATGACCATCTTTACTGGAGGGAAAGAAACTTCCTGTGCAGTTATTAAAAGTCAGGAGGAGGGACGGGGGTAGCACTGGGAATAGGAAACATGCAGCTTCCCAGCAGAAGGGGCGTTCTGGCGCCAAGGAGATGCACACTTCGGGGCGGGGTGGGCCTGCATACAGCCACCAATGCCAGGGCCACCACAGAGGCCCCTGGGCTGGCGCTGGTTATGTAGGCAACTCACTGTGGACACAGCTTCTGAGGATGGGGACGGGCCTGCAGCCAGCAGCCAGCAGGACAGACACTTTGGCAAACTTCTTTAGGATGGAATATGGAAAGATTTTTTTTCCCCTCCCTACCCCATGTTTCCGCAGCTTGGAGAAAAATAGTAGGGAAAAAAGAAAGAAAGAGAATGGGCCTCCCTACCTGAAAAGACCATAATAACTCACAAATGGAAAATCCACAGACCGAAGATGAAATTCTAAGGAAAATATCACCATTTGCTGACTCGGGCCTGTGCGAGTAGCTCAAGCAGACTTGACTGTCATCCGTCTTGTGTGGCAACAGTGGGGTGTGGGGGGGCCAGGTCAGGGGTCCTGCTTGTGGTAGAAGAAAGACCTGCCTGGAATGAGGAGCCCTGGGCCCCTGAGTCCTCTGCACCCAATGGGCTTTGATGAGATTGACTTTGGACTTGGTCATTTCACTTAGGAAGAATCTGCAAAGTAGGAATCATCCTTGTCACCAGCCTCAAGTCTCTCCGAGGGGAACATCTTTGAAACTGTAAAGTCTTGTGCATGTATGAAGTGTTAAAAGTAGTAACGAGCAGGGAACCAGAGCAATAATGCTCTGATTGTCACCCAGGGACAGAGGGTTGTTCTCCTTCTGCTGAATGAAACAAATGGTAGCTGTGGAGGGAAGTTTGACAGGCACAATGCCAAAGGTGCTAGAGCTAAACTACATGGGTGGAAAATTGGGCTCTACTATGGACTAGCTGTGTGACCTCGAGTTAATCACTTAACCTCTCTGTGCCCCGGTTTCCTCATTCATAAACAGTAGCGACTAATAGTCCCCACTTCAGAGCACCATTGTAAGGATTAAATGACCTGATTCACGGGACTCAATATGTATTAGCTATTATTATAAAACTGGTAATATAATAAATACTATATCATAAATAGTAAAATACTACTCACCAAGGTTTGGGCTATCTTTGAACAGAACACATTCAGCTCCTACAAACAGAAATGCTGTTGCAGAAGGAATGTACTAAAAATACTGGAAGTATCTGAAGATCTCAGAGGCAACCATTTTTAAGTAATTCAAAATAAACTCACTGAATAATCATTTAAGAGGCATTTTCATGAGCAACAGTAGGCAATATGCCTAATATAGTAAAACGTCCCTAATGTTCCATTGCTTCTCTCCTTCATCCTGACATCCCATGACTAGGTTGTGAGCACGGGTGATGGGTGTCACTATGGTAAGGCACTGGGGGAGGAAAGGGAGGAAGGGAGGAGGCCCTAAAAGCAACTACAGTCTGATGGGGACCTGTGCATCACACCTATAAATAGTTGCAATACCTCTGGGGACTCCGTGGGGGCTTCAGGAATGAGATGGCCCTAAAGGAATGGTAGAGCTGTAAGACGTGGCGCTGGGAGGGCTGGCTGTGCAAGGGGGCAAGGGCAGAAGGCAGAAGCCCAGAGGGAGTCCTGAGAAACGCAGGTGCAGAGGCAGGCTCCTGTCCCAACTGAGGACTCAGAATTCTTGGCTGAAGGGTTTGCACTGGATTCAGTGGGAACGTGAGAACCACAGATGCCTGTACCTGAGAGCAAGTGATGTGGGCAAAGTGAGCTTCAGGAAGGTGTGTCTTTGTGCAGGGTGGAGGATGGTGGGAACAGGGCAGGCTTGGAAGTGGGGACATGCCTTAGGAAGCAACCACAGCATCCAGGAGGTCTGACATGGGGAGCTAAACCCCACAGTGTGGTGGTAAAATCCCCTGAGTGATGACTATAGATGCCACAGGAGATGAACCGTCTGGAAGATGGTGGAATCACCTCATTCAGGAGAGCTGGGAAAAGCTGGGTGGGGATGTGTCAAAAAGGAGACACTTGGTCCCTTCCCTACCCTCCTCACCCATGGTTTCATTTTCCATGGTTTCGGTTACCTGTGGCCAACTGTGGACCAAAAATATTAAATGGAAGATCCCAGAAATAAACGATTCATGAGTTTTAAATGGCCTGTCAGTCTGAGTAGAGTGATGAACTCTCCTGCTGTCCCTCTCCATCCTGCCCAGGATGAGAATCATCCCTTTGTCCTACATCTCCACACTGGGCACTCTACCTGCCCATTAGCCTCTCAGTCCCTCGGTTATCAGATCAGTGGTCACAGTGTTACACCACCTGTCCATATGACCTTTATTTCACTGCATAATGGCCCCAAAGCACATGAGCAGTGATGCTGGCGATTCGGATCCACCAAAGAGATGCCAATATGTGCTTCCTTTAAGTAAAAAGGTGAGAGTTCCTAACTTAACAAGGCATTGTATCACCTCACACCATCACAAGAAGGGTGAGTGTAATACAGTTAGATGTGAGAGAGAGAGACCACATTCACGTAACTTTCATTACAGGGCACTGTTACCATCCTTCTATTGTGCTATTAGTTATTATGGGTAACTCCCTCCTGTGTCTAATTACAAATTCAGCTTTATCGTAGATATGTACGTGTAGGAAAAACCAGAGTGCACACAGGGATCGGTAAGCTCTGCAGTTTCAGGAACCCCCGGAAGGTCTTGGGACGTGTGTCCTGCGGATGAGGGGCTCTCTTACATTCTCAGCCAGAACCCGTGTCCCCAACCACCGCCAGTTTTCTGCGGCTGCTGTAACCAATCACGGCAGATTTAGAAGTTGCAACAGCACACACACTTTGATTTCCCCATAGTTTCACAGGTCAGAATCGAGAGGTGGCTTGGCTGGCTCTCTGCCCCAGACTGGATGCAAGGTGTCAGCTGCGTGGGAGGGGGGCTATGGGTGGGACCCACCAGCTTATCCATTCATGCCCTTGGCCAAATTAAGTTCCCTGCATTGTAGGATTCAGGTTTGTTTCTTTGCTGGCAGTCAGCTGGGGGCCACCTTTAGATAGTAGAGTCCTCCCTCCAGTCTTACATGTGGACCCCTACACTTCAGAGGCAGTACCAACACCCCAACTCCCCCTGATCCCTAGAATCTCTCTGACTCTCTGCATAAACCTTAATTATACCTGCAAAGTCCCTTTGCCATGCAAGGTCACCCTTTCATAGGCATCACCCCAGAGATTGGGAGGGTGGGGAACATTGTCGGGTGGC